TAACTAGCATTAAATTGTCATCTGTTCAAGAAGCAGGTGTCTGGTATATGATCGTCGTCGTTTGCCTATCCGTCTCTCCTTCAACACTTCCCACGACCCTTGTGGGGCTGGCCCCCGCGCACAGGGTCATGATTTGGGGTCAGCAGAGGGTATGCACAGGGTCATTAGTTGGGGCCAATGGAGGGCACAGGGTCATGAGTTAGGTTAAGTGGAGGGCGTAGGGTCATGAGTTGAGGTCAGCAAAGGGCATAGGGGTCATGAGTTGAGGTCAGCAAAGGGGTCATGAGTCAGGGGCCAGTGGAGGGCACGTGGTCATTGGGTGGGGCCAGCAGAGGGCATGGGGTCATAAGCCAGGGCCATCAGAAGGCATGTGGTCATGAGTCAGGGGTCAGCAGAGGGCATGGGGCCATGAGTACGTGAGGTCATGAGTTGGTGCCCGGGGGAAGACAAGAGGTCATGAGTCAGGGTCAGCAGAGGGCACAGGGTCATGATTTGGGGTCAGCAGAGGGTATGCAGTCATAAGAGATCAGTGGAGGGCACAGGGTCATGAGTTGGGTTAAGTGGAGGGCATAGGGTCATAAGTTGGGGTCAGCAAAGGGCATCGGGTTATGAGGCAGGGGTCAGTTGAGGGCACGGGGTCATTAGTTGAAGTCAGGGGAGGGCACAGGGTCATGAGTTGGGGTCAGCAGAGAGCATGGGGTCATGAGTTGGGATAAGGGGAGGGCATGGTGTCATGAGTCAGAGATCAGCAGAGGGCACAGGGTCATGAGTTGGGCTCGGGTTCTGGAAACCCTGGTCCACCACCAATACCCACTTTCTCCTGGCCTAGGCCAGACATCTCAAAATTGGACCAAAAAGGCAACAGCACCAAGGGAAAAGGGGACACTCACAGTCTCCTGCTGGCTCCAGATCTCAGGGAAGGCCAGAGGGGCACCTGAGGCATGGGTCTTCACCCCACACGTGCTCCATCTTGGCTATCCCTGAGCACCTGCAGGCTTTGTCTCTCCCAACCCTCTGCTTATGGAGTTCAGGTGCTTCCCCACTCCTATGATGACGGGGACAGGTCCAGCCAATCAGAGCTCCATTCAGTTACTTTTCTAGTGGGTTTGCTAAGGCTAGAACCACTGAGGGCTGTCTCATCACCCTGTGAGAAGGCCCTTCCTGAGAGTGAAGGTAACATGAAGGAAAACAGAGTCAGGAGATGCAGAGGCCTTCTCCCCATGAGACTCTGCTCTCTGCTTAAGCAACTGGATACATCCATGCCTAAAGCTCATCTCTGCACTTTTCAGTATCATAAACCAAAAAGTCCTCACCTTTGTTTCACTTGGATTGAGGTTTGAAATTTACAACCTAAACACCCCTGACTGGGATGATATGCCGAGCACCCATGGCAAGTCCTGCAAGACGTAGCACCTGCTGGTAGCAGGCAATCTTCTGGTTGATGCTCTCCAGCTTGGTGTCACAGATGTTGTGAAACTCGTAGTGGGGCATGGGAATGATGGTGCTGCTCAGGGCCATGAGACTTCGACAGTTCTGCATGAATACGCTGTCCTTGGTAGCAAAGGCCTCAAGGATCCCCGGGGACACCAGCAGCTCCTGAGTGCTCCCTGTGCATTGGGGTGGGGGGTCCTAAGCGGGTCACCCACAGTGACCCCTGTGTGCCTCGTGATGCCCCGTGAGGACAAATCTATGACTGCCAGTTTGGCAGATGAGTCAACTGAGGCTAAAGGGGCCATCACTCTCCTCAGCCCCGGGTTGCCAAGTGGTGGGACGAGGACCAGACTAACTCTGAGGAAATGGGACTCGGGGTGCTCCCACCCCAGCCCCCCCCAGCCCCAAGACAGGGAAGTGCCCACAAGACCTTGGCAATGAGGCCAAAGCAGCCCTAGGGCTCCACGATCTTCTCCAGCACGTGGCACGGCCGCCAGTCGTGCTCATGTACTTGTACAAAGCCATGTTCCAGGTGCACGTTGTCCACGGTTAGACTGACCACTGGGCTGTCCTCCTGCAGGCTCAGCTGGGGGCCCAGGGACAGCAGGGGCGAGGCTGGAAGCCAAAGGGGCGGACCACACTGAGGTGGGTGCTCCACAGCCAGCCAGGCCTGCGCCACCGCCAGGACTGCAAGTGGTTGAACAAGAGGGAACCCGACGCCTGCATTGTGCCTCTGTTTTTGGGGGCCAGTGTTGTTCAACCTTGTCCTAAAAGACTGTCCTTCTAGGAATCGACCCTTGTGCCCCATACTCAGCCTGCATGGCTCAGAAGAGGCTGAACTCACCTGGCCCGCACCCTTCCCTGACTCTGGGTCCACAGACAGGCAGGAGCCTCAGGCCTGGCCATCAGCACATTCTAGTCCCTTCTTCTCAGCGATTGGCTCAGGATCAAGCATGTGACCCAAGCCGGGCCAATGGGAGTCCTGTCGGGGACTTTTGTTGATCTCCAGCGAAGAGACATTCTCCTTTCAACCAGATACCAGACTGCCTGAGTCACCAAGTGGAGAAAACCTCATGTAAGAGGAAAACCAACACAGAGGGCTGAGCACTGGAGAGAAAGACTCTTCAGGATACCATAGGAGGAACTGGATCAAGTCAGGGCTGAAGCTGCTAAACTCCCCTTTTTTCAATGTATCTCTGATTAACACATGACCAGGGAGGCTAAGTGACTCCTCAGAGGCCACACAGCAGGTAGTGACTTGCCTAGGAAACAAAACAGCACTTCCTTGGTGTGAACCGCTTTCCCTCCCACCTGCTCAAGAGCCCCTCCACCACTCAGCCTCTCTCTCTCTCACTCTCATGTCACCACCTGTCACTTCTCTTGTTCTTTTACTCACTCTCTGCCTCTGCCCGTATCCACCTTGCTCACTTGCATGTTCCCAGCTCACGGGACATGGCACAGGGCAGGTGCCTTTCCTTGCTGGACAGAAGAGGTGACCAGCTCCTCTCAGCCAGGCTGACTGTCATCACAAAGATGCCCTCGTGCCTGGGGAGGGGGTATACAGCCCTTTCCTCTCAGAGGGGCATCAACGGGGCTCAGCTTCAGCCTGAGCCCCTCAGGACCCCCTGTGGGGCCATGCATTTCAGCAGCAGGAGGCAGCTCCTCAGCCAGTCATGAGCCCCAGCTCTTGCTGACCACCAGAATTTCAGCAGGAGCCCAGAGCTGGCAGACACAGGCACCCACAACCTCTTGTCCTCTACTGCATCTGCGCTAGCCCCAGGCGGAAAGGCTGGGCAGAGTGAGCGAAGTGGCTGGAGGGGCAGGATTATTATTTAGACCACAGATCTTTCCCGAGGGCCTACTGTGTGCCAGCGCAGTCCTCGGCTCTGAGGAGACAGCAAGGAATGAAGCAGACAGACAAAACCCCTGCCTTCATGGAACCCATGCTCCTGTGGAGAAGAGGGAGGGGGACAATTAACAAGTAACTGTATGAGCTAGGCGTAGTGGCACACACTTCTAGTCGCAGCTACTCAGGAGGCTGTGGTGGGAGGATCACTTGAGCCCAGGAGTTCGAGGTTGCAGTGAGTTATGATCATACCACTGAACTCTAGCCTGTGCAACAGAGTGAGACTCTGGCTCTAAAAACTAAAATTAAATAAATAGAGACTACTAGCGCCTCTTTTTTCTTTTCTTTTCTTTTTTTTTTTTTTGAGTTAGAGTCCCACTCTGTCACCCAGGCTGGAGTGCAGTGGCATGCTCATGGCCACTCCAGCATCGATCTGCTGAGCTCCAGCGATCCTTCTGCCTCTGCCTCAGCCTTCCAAGTAGCTGGAATTACAGGCACATGCTACTATGACTGACTAGGTTTTTTTTTTTTTTGTCTGTTTGTTTTTTTAGAGACAAAGTTTTGCCAAGTTGCCTGGGCTGGTCTCGAACCCGCGGCCTCAGGCAATTCACTTGCCTTGGCCTCCCAAAGTGCTGGGATTATAGGCTGATCCACCTATTAGTTGATATATAGTTTTTGTTTTTTGAAACAAAACATACAAGGAGGAGGTGATACCAATTATATTGAAAGTATTCCAAGCAATCGAGAAAGATGGAACTCTCCTCAAATCATTTTATGAAGTTAAAATCATATTTTACCCAAACCAGGTAAAGATCCAACAAAGAAAGAGGACTACAGACCAATAGCTTTAACATAGATGCTAAAATTCTCAACAAGATTCTAGCAAACTGGATCTGACAACATATCTCAAAAATCATCTGCCATGACCAAGCAGGCTTCATTCCCAGAATGCAGGACTGGTTAAACATTTGCAAGACCAAAAACATAATTAAATACATGAACAAATGTAAAAATAAAAACAACATGATTATATCATTAGACACAGAAACAACTTTCTATAAAATCCAGCACCTCTTCTTGATAAAAGCCCTTGAATATCTGGGCATGGATGGAACATACCTTAAAATAGCAAGAACCAACTGTGAGAAACCAACAGCCAAAATATTGCTAAGCAGACAGAAATTGAAACCATTTCCCCTGAAAACTGGAACAAGGATGCCCACTGTCACCCCTTCTGTTCAACACAGTTTTGGAAGTCCTAGCAAGAGCAATCAGATAAGAGAAGGAGATCAGGGGTATTAAAATAGGTAAAAAGGAAGTCAAGTTATTCCTCTTTGCAGATGACATGGCTCTGTAACTCAAAAACCCAAGAGAAACTGTTGAAAACCTCCTTGCACTGATAAAGGACTTCGGCAATGTCTCAGGGTACAAAATAGATGTGCAAAAGACAGTCGCATTACTATACACCAACAATAAACAAAAAGAAACCCAAATATAAAACACAATCCCATTCACAATACACACACACACACACACACACACACACACACACACACACATATACACACACACAAAATACCTTAGCATCTTCCTTACCAGAGAAGTGAAAGTTCTTTATGACAAACATTACAAAACACTGCTCAAAGAAATAAAAAATGACACAAATGGAAAAATATTCCATGCTCATGGATTGGAATAATCAATATGTTAAGATGTCCATTCTACCCAAGACAATCTACAGATTTAGCAATACCCATTAAATTACCAGCATCATTCTTCTCAGACCTAGAGACAATACAGAAATTCATATGGAAACAAAAGCGACCACAAAAAGCCAAAACAATCCTTAGCAAAAGAAACAAGGCAGGAGGTATCACACTTCCAGACTTCAAACTTTACTCTAAGGCTACAATAATCAAAACAGCCTGATATTGGTACAAGAACAGGCATATAGACCAATGAAAGAGGATAGAGATTCCAGAAACAAAACCCCAATTTCTCAACCAACTAATCTTCAACAAAGACTCCACCACCAACCATTGGGGAGAGGAGAACCTGTTCTGTAAATGATGCTGGGAAAACTGGCTGACCACATGCAGAAGACAGAAACAGGGTACCTATCTATCACCTATACACAAAAATCAACTCTAAATTTATCAAATACCTAAATGTAAAACCTCAAACTATAAAAACATTAGAAAATGCAGGAGACACACTTGTGGAAATTGAAACTGGCAACCAATTCCTGATCAAAACCCCAAGTGCCCATGCCATAAGAGATAAGATAGACAAGTGGGACCTCATCAAACCGACAAGCTTCTGCAAAGTCAAAGTAATCATCAAGAGAGCAGGGAAAGAGCCCACAGACTGGGAAAAAATATTTGCTAACTATATATCTGACAAAGTCGGATATATAGGGAACTATAGGGATCTATAGGGAACTCAAACATGCCAAAAAATATGGTCAAACGATATGAATATACACTTCTCAAAGGAAGACATATGAGCAGCCAACAGATACATGAAAAAATGCTCAGCCTCCCTAGTCATCAAAGAAATACAAATTAAAACCACACTGAGATACCACCTAACTCCAGTCAGGATGGCCATCATCAACTCAAAACACAACAGATGCTGGAGAGGAAGATGGGAAAAGGGATCACTTTTACACATGGAAGAGTGGAAGCGTAAACTAGTACATCCCCTATGGAAAACAGTGTGGCGATTCCTAAAAGATCTAAAAGTTGACTTCCGTATGACCCTGCAATCCTCCTACTGGGAACATACCCAGAGGAACTCAAATCACTCTGAAAAAGATACCTGCACAAGCTTATTGCAGCATTATTCACAATAGCAAAAACATGGAACCAACCATACTGCCTATTGAAAGAGGATTGGATAAAAATAGTGGTACACATACACTATAGAATATTATGCAGCCATAAAGAAGGACAAAATTATGAATTTTGCAGTAACTTGGATAGACTTAGGATCTATAATACTGAATGATATATCACCGAAACAAAGAACTGAGTATCACAGTTCTCACTCATAAGTGGACTTTGAACAATTATTGTAATACTATAAGAAATGAATTGGCAGTAGTGGAAAACTGCCACGGGAGAGGGTGTTGGATTGCCAGTAGTGGGAAACTGGCAGGGAATGGGGGGCGTGCCTCATCAAAAAGGGTACCTGCATAATGAGCATTTGTATATTTAACCCTGAATTGTACCCTCATCTTTAAAATTAAAAAAATTTAAAAATAAAAGATAAGCAGTGTTCCACCATAAATATTGCTGAAGACAAGAATGCCCTGAATGGATCTCACCTGTATGTGCACAAAGACAGAGAGCATCTGATTGTAATATTTGCATTATTAAAACAATACAATCTCCACTTAAGAGGGGGTTTATCCACAATTCTTTGTAGATACAATGTATGAAGAAGTATGCAGCTATAATATGGTTGTGAGGCTGAAACCCCTCTTTAATCTTGCAAACATACCTTTCTTTGGAAGTTTCATTCAAAAGTCCACAGCCAGATTCCTTTGGGGAGCCAGCTGGAGGACTATTCCTTTTGTGTTGTATCCTGGTACAGTCCTCAATAAGTTGGCTTAGTAATCTGTTTGATCTCATTTTCAATTTTTGTTTCCTTAGTGCCTAAAAACAGTGGTTGGTAACAGGACCACCTGTAACAAATTACAAATTAACAAGAGAAAAAACACATCCATTGAATAATATATTGTCAAGGATTATTTGCTTGGCCAAAA